TTATTAGGAAAAGAAAACATCTCGGGGAGACAAGTGTGAAGATGGAATCTCAAATAGGGAGATGAAGAGTCTGTCTCACAATTCGATAGTGTTTGTTTCACTTAGTCAGACTTTTCCTGAAGATCTTGACAGCTTCTGTGCGTGCAGAAATGCTGGAAGTGGCAAGCTGGTTTCCTGCCTGACCTTCCTGCAGTTCGTGCCCAATGCTGGAGATAAGCATAGTTTGGAGCAGGGATCTGGGGTATTTTGATGTGCAGTGTGTTGATGTAAATGTTTAATCCTGAAGTGCTCTTTGTTGTTTTTTTTTCTATTAGGAAAAAAGAACTGCTTTCCAGGGATGATTTAGAGTTACCATGGAGACCACTCTATGAAATGTTGGAAAGGATATTGTACTCCAAAACAGAACATCTTGGATTAAATTGGTTTCCCAAGTAAGTTTGCATTTTAAAATATTTGATAGGCTATAAGTACCTGTAATGCTTGAAAGTACTTTGTGATTCGTTTTTAATATCTGGGATTTGATACACAGTAAATATTTTGCTTGTGTTTTCCTGCAGTATATTTCAGTAATTGCATGCAAGACTGTACTAAATCATGTATATCCTTCTGCCAGTGAATTGTTTTTGTTAGGGTGTTTCTCTCTCTTTGAGTGTGATTCATTTCTAAATATGCTGGAACAGGGGGCTTCAACTCATTTTAGGATGATAACCCACAGTTTAACAGATTTAATGTTAAATTTTTAATGATATTCAAGTTAAATGTCTGCTATTTTATAACATAATAAGGGTTAAAAAAATTAAAATACTGCTTAAATATAAAATGGTTCCTAAAGTAATCATTCCCAGTATCTGTAATCTAGGTCTAAATCAGTATGCACACAAAGAAAAGTGAAGTACCTTCTGTAGAAAATGCAAACATACATATGTATATGTATTCAAAGTGATTATATGATATAGACAAATAATTTTTTTCCCAGTTAAGAATTTTTAAAATGTTCTACTGATTTTAAAAGTGAAAACTTGTTTTCTTTGCTGTCTTTACGCTGCCAATCCCTCTCCATCTGTCAAATTTCCCAAATTACAATTTTACTGATAATTCCAATCAGAGAAGGTCCTGCTCTGTAAATTACAGATTATAAAAGATATTACATGGATAGCTCATTATGTTTGTTTAAATTGAGACTTCATGTAAAGAAATGCAGGTGAAAATACTTAATTGGCTTAAAAAAAAAAAAAAAATTTTCTGTCCAGGGATATTGAAGTGCCACTACTGATTCCTTTTACTGAGTGGAAGATGCTGTTGCTGATAAGTGACATGAACAGAAAATACATGTAGCCTTGTACCTTGTTATGGAACATTTCATGCCGAATTTCTTTCATGGCTACGTAGCTGGAAGAATAATTTTGCTAAACTGCATTATTTTGCCAGTTGTAGATAATACTGGTTAGCGAAACTGCGTACTTTGCTGGGTGGGGATGTTGTCTAGTCACTTCTCATTTACTGTGTGAGAAACTGGAATGGTGGGGAGGGGACTTTTCCAAGAGGGGAAAGAAGGCTGAGCTGGGAGGAGGATGTCAGTTGTGATGGTGTGTCTGAAGCATTGAGCTTTTATTAGCTGTTAGGTATCAGGCACTCCATCTTAATATGCAGTGCGATTTGTTCTCATACGGTGTTTTTTCCTTTTTGTGAAGTCCATTTTGAGGGGTGTCTTTTTGGTGGAAGTCGAGAGATTTTTAAAAGCTGAGTTGATTTGATTTATAGCTGTTAATTTAACTACTGTTTATTTTTTTTTTTACATTCAGTTCATATCGACCAGGCTTGTCTTCACCTAAAACATTTGTGCTTAATGTATTACATAGGTGGTAAGAACAACTTTTTGTTTTGTTCAGCTCTGGCCGATGCGTAATCTTCTGCATGTTCTGTTGGACTGTAACACTTGTCACACAGGTGTAACTTTCTGCATAAATAATTGTATTGAAAAAACAATTTTAACATGACACCACTGTGTATGAGAATGTCGCACTGTATGGAAACCTTTCTAATGGGGGAACAAGGCAGCGTGTGTGAAGTGGCTGATAAGTGGCTATATGCTAACTAATTTAACCAGCATATATATTTCGAGGGTCAAATGAAAGATAATTTTTACGTTTGAGTAACTGCTGTGTCTGAGTATGGACAAAATCAGCATCGGCGTAGGAGTGCATGTTGCTAAGTAAGTGTACCTTACTATTAAAAACGATGAAATCATGGAAAGTGCTTTGGCAGTGAGGTCATAGGTTCTGGAAAATACACCCAGCAACAACCTTGTAGCCGTGAGTTGTGAGACGAAGTCCCTGTATCG